ATAGATATGTATGGTGTGGGCGTTATCAACCGGTGCGCCGTTCGACGTTGGTGTTAGGGGGGTGTTGGCATTCCTGACGTCTTCACGAAGGCCAAGGCCCTCTTCTGGGTCTCGTTGCGTCGGGGGTGGCTCTCGGTGGGGGGTTGAATACGCTGGGTGTTTTTTTCTGCTCGCTTCGCTTCAGTTTTTTGGTTGATTTGGGGGTTTGTCAGGAGGTGGCCTTGTTTACCCCCCCCTGTTTATTCTTGGGCCGTGGGGATTCTTCGGGAGCTCTGCCGCCATCCTGGGTTTCTGTCCTTCTCGTGCAAGGCTGTGTATGGGGTGTTGTTGCCCCGGGTGCGGCCTTGAGTGGAGGGCTTATTCCCGTGTTGGGATTGGGGAGGTATCTGGTCGTGTTTGGGGGCACGGTTCTTGGCGCCTCAGCAGCGTGAATTGCTGTTTCGGGTTCTGCATTTGTCGCTGGCGACAAATGAGCGGTTGTGTATGCTTGGCTTGCGTGATTCTGGGGCGTGTGTTCATTGTGGTTTAAGTGAATCGCAGGTGCATGTATTTTATTTTTGTGTCCGGTTACAGGGGTTGGTGGACTGGTTTCGGGATGTCCTGTAGGTGTTTTGTGGTCCGGGTTGTCGGGGTGATATTTTGCAGTTTTTGTTTTTGTATTTTCCGGCTTATCCGCTGCGGGTGCGTAATACATTATGTGTTTTGGTTGCTGATTATGTGTTTTGTGTGTGGGTTGGGAGGCGGGAGGGTTTTGGGGTTGCCCGAATTTTAGGATTTTTACGGGGGCGCATGCGGTTTACCTGGTGGTGGTTGCAGTGCGCTTTTCCGGAGGAGTTTGGTCGGTGGTTCACAGATGCCTATGTTCGTGGGGTTGCCTTTGGGTCGGCAGGTGCCTTGGTGGGAAGGTGATGTTCTCGTCTTGGGTGGGGTTGGGGTGTCGATGGGGGTTTAGAGGGGTTGGGGGGTTTCGGGGTTTGCTTTGCTATGCGCTCCCTTTCCGCTTCTTTGGGTGTCCTTGGCGGGGGTTGTGTGTGATTGTGTGTCTCCCCCCTTGAGATGCTGCTGCTCCTGTGTGTGTGTGTGGTGTGTTTCCGTACCTCCGGGTGCCGGTTGTGTCCATATGCGTGTTGGTGTGTGGTTTTGAGGGGGGTTTTGGCTCCTACGTGGGCCTGGGTTTTCTGCTGTACTGTTTTCTACTGTTCTTTTTGTGGCCGTGTTTCGCTTTGGCCTGTGACCCATTATTTTGCGTGCTTGGGTGCTGTGTGGTGTGCCGTGGTGGTGTGGGTGGTATGAGTGTGTTGTCTTGTTGTTTAGAGTGTGTTTAGTGTGTGTGTGTACATACTTTCTTCTCATTTAGTCTATGTCATTTTCCTGGGTAGCGCGTGTATGGTCCTATGCTCCTTTGTTCTTCTGTGTGTGTGGTAGGCGTGGTTTTGTGCACGTGATTCTATGTCCACGTCTGTGTATGTTTTGTGTTCTTGGTTCCCGGTGTGTTTAAATGTTATTTATGTACTTATTGTTTTCTTTATTTTTCATGTAATTTTCTTTGCCATGTTCTGTGTTGCTATGTAGATATGAACTGTTTAGCCTATTGTTTCCATGTACTGTTTTAGCACTTAATTCCCCGTACTGTTTAGCCCATTGCTTCAATGCATTTTTATTTTGTTCAGCGCTTGTGTTTGTTTTGCGGTTACTGTTATTGTTTAGTGTACAGACTGTTTATCCCTGTGTACTGTTCCTTCATTGGTATACTTGATGTGTACAGGTTTGCGTTGTTTTGTGTGTTCTTGTATTTGTGTAATTTATAAAATAAAAAAAAAAAAACATACCTAAGGTAAAACAACGGTAATTGGTAAATTGAGGGAAGCACGGCTGTTGCGAGTGTTACGAGCAGTCAGGAAAACAATGCCGCTCCCATGTGGGTTGCGCTCCACGTGGCGATTTCGGAATACCATGTGATATATACAGAGAATGGGAAGACGATGGCATGCATTTTAAAACAAGTCCCATAATAATCAGAAAGTAAATGGAATTTTCACAAATAGTTTTATTATTGACAGCATTAAAGTCATGTTGCACACTGCGTGTATTATTTTGATGTCTTTGCAAAGGTCTTAAGATGGGACTGGGTTTAACGTCCATGGATGTGACTGCTGCTACCATCAACCTGTGAAAAAGCTCCTATCAAGTGTCTTCATTTTATTTAAGACATCATAGTATAGTTGTTTTAGTGCAACAGAGTGTACTCCTGAAGCTGTCAGATTACTGACAAAATATTGAACAATTAAAAAGGAAAGATTAAGTGATCTAGTGTTTCTTCACCCCTCCAGATGGTAGATGATATTTGCGTAGAATGGAAAGTATCACCCTAAAATTATTGATAGTCATTTATTACGGCACTCATAATAGCCATAGAATACAGCAGAGTACTAGTTAAATAGACTTTCAGCCTAAGTAAATCTAATTAAATAGTATAATAATTATTCAGAGAAAATATGTTCATTAATAAATTATATTGGTGTAGACAATATATACTTATTAAACTCAAACTGTAATTGAATATATTAACCTTCCTTCTACCACCATTATCGGCGGTGGGAAACGACAATGGCTAGGTTACATATTACCCATGCATGCATAACTCATAGGCACTTAATGGGAACACCGACCTGCTCCTTGTTGTCCGAAGTGCAATGTCTGCTCTAACTGTCATGCACCTCCTTTTAGAATATCACGACATTGAAGACGTTCATGTCTCTCGTGTTCCTAGTATAGGGTCATTTTTCCCTCGATAAAATCCCTAATGAATGAGATACCTTCGATATTAATTGCCCTTATGCGTTTGTTCTCGTATCCATGGTGATATTTAGCGCCTTTATTATATATCATGAGACCCTGATAGTGCTACAAAGTCTATCTGTTAAGATTACTAAGACTTAAATTTTTAAATTTAATTACCAAGAGCGGTACCAAGCCTTTTTTTGGTAATTACTTACTTTCTTAGGTAAGCCAATTTTTAAATAAAAAGAATTTCAACATTTAATATTTCAAGGTAACAGAGGGGTTTCTTTTTATGTTTTTAGGGGGCCTGGCAACTGAGTGGACAGCGCTTCTGATTCGTAGTCCTGAGGTTCCGGGTTCAATCCCCGGTGGAGGCGTAAACAAAATGGGCAGAGTTTCTTTCACCCTGATGCCGTTGTTCACCTAGCAGTGTATAGGTACCTGGGAGTTAAACAGCTACTACGGGCTGCTTCCTGGGGGAGTGTAACAAAAAAGAGGCCTGGTCGAGGACTGGGCCGCGGGGACGCTAAACCCCCGAAATCATCTCAAGATAACCTCAAGATAGGCCAAAGCTTTTATCATCATCACAAGTATTTCCCTTCATCTTCAAGAAACGATGAATTGATGCAGTGCAAGTATTGTATATATTTTATTATTTTCAATAAAAATATTTGCCACCTCTCTAAATTTCCTAATTTTAAAACAATATTACATGTAATACTTTAATGTTTGTCCCTGTCTTTATGGGGTAAATAACAAAATCAGCAGAATAACAGTCATTGGATGTCAACCTGTCCTCTTAAAAAGAACGTCGCTTTTGGCCGTTTGCCCGTATGGCCGAATTTGGACGTAATTTGAAAATGAAAAAAAATGAAAATAAATTTGGGATTTCTTTTTTCAACAACAGTAAGTTAAGGGTCCTCTGATAGGTTAGGTGGGCAGGAAATTCTTATAAAGTTTCAAAACGTTATGAAAAACGTTAATTTAAAGTGTCCTCTCATAACCTCTGAGCGTAGGCCGGACGACTCAAATAGAAAACGGAACAGAACGTCACTTTTGTGAGTCGATTTCATTTCAAATTACGTCCAAATTTAGCCATATCGCGCATACGGGCCAAAAGTGACGTTCTTTTTAAGAGGACGGGTTGCATTGTCACCTGTCTTTGGCCACCCAACATTTCCTGTAGTCTGGGTCCCCATACAAGGTAAACTGCCAGAGACATATAGCCAAGTCGTCTTCGAGCTGTGACAACATGTCAGTCTACTGATTTTGTTACTTGCTCCACAAAAGACCAAGTAACACATTTTATTATGATACAGAATGGGGTTGTTATTTCTTTTTTGCACTATTCTGCTTAGGTACTTTATCAAAAGTGGCACTTGCCCTGTCCTAAAGGCTTGTTCTGCACCACCTCCCGAAGGGCTACGTATCAAAAGCTTTCTGACAGTCCTATAGCATTGCCTGCTATTCCATCTATCTAGTATGATTTATATGGCCCTGCCATAGACCTATTGGATTGTGAGGCAGGACTCGTTGTTCATGATCTCATACTGATGTTTGCTACAAAAAAATGCATGTGTTTTATTAGTCTGTATCTTATGATCCTCTGAAGAACCATGTATGATATTCATGAACGAGAAAATAGTATTTTATTTAGCACTGCCTGTTTCCCTATTTTCTTATTGGCAAAATAATGGCTGCCTTCAAACTTTCTTGTAGTTCCCCTCTTCCTAGTGATTTTTTCACAACCAACACCTGTACAATCATTCACCTGTAAGCACACACGTGAGTCCAACTGTGTGACAATTATATTCCTGTAATTATAACCCTATTATTCAAGTGCCTGATTCCACAGGTCTCAATGCTACACGCCCACCTACACAAACACCTGTCACCAGATATGAAACCACTATGCATCTGTAGTCATGCACTTAACTGCAATACACCTGTGACAGTACAACATAATAATTACTTCTGCAGTAATACACTCGAACATTACAAAACTGACGCCACAGACCAACTCTGATATTACCCGCCACTACATACTTAAACAGAACTCACGTCCTCTTTTGCACACAAATAGTAAATACGTGACCAATCCACATATGATACAACACACACGAAAACCAAACATGCATCACAACAAACCTTACCACACACACACACACACACACACACACACACACACACACACACACACACTAGGGTTCACCACATACCTGACTCGTCCATAGTGAGGAGTTGAAAACTGGTGAACGCTGAGGGTCTGGATGAACAACGCAACGAGAAACAAGCCTCTGAAAAAAAATATAAAAGTTTTTGAGGAATCCAATACATGCAACTCACTATTTACTGTTGTAACACACACACTCACACTCAGGAGATCTGGGGCTGAGTTAACAGCGCTTGGGACTCGTAACCCTAGGGTCTGGGTTCAATCCCCAGCGATCGCGGATAGCAAATTTAGCAGAATTTCTTTCACCCTGATGCCAATATTACTTAATAGTAAATAGGTACCTGGGAGTTAGACAGATGTTACGGGCAGCTCCTCTCTGTGTGTGTGTGTGTGTGTGTGTGTGTGTGTGTGTGTGTGTGTGTGTGTGTGTGTGTGTGTGTGTGTACTCACTTAATTGTGCTTGCGGGGGTTGAGCTGTGGCTCTTTGGTCCCGTCAATCAACTGATGTACAGATTCCTGAGCCTACTGGGCTCTGTCATATCTACATTTGAAACTGTGTATGGAGTCAGCCTCCGCCACATCACTTCCTAGTGCATTCCATTTACTAACTACTCTGACACTGAAAAAGTTTTTTCTAATGTCTCTGTGACTCATTTGGGTACTCAGCTTCCACCTGTGTCCCCTAGTGTGTGTGCCACCCATGTTAAATAATCCATCCTTGTCCACCCTGTCAATTTCCCTGAGAATTTTGTATGTGGTGATTTTGTCTCCCCTAGCTCTTCTTTATTCCAGCGACGTGAGATGCAGTTCACGTAGTCTGTCCTCATAACTCATGCCTCTTAGTTCTGGGACTAGCCTAGTGGCATACCTCTGAACTTTTTCCAGCTTCGTCTTGTGCATGACTAGATAGGGCTCCATGCTGGGGCTGCATACTCCAGAATTAGCGTTACATATGTGGTATTTAAGGTTCTGAAGGATTCCTTAGACAGGTTTATGAAAGCAGTTCTGATGTTAGCCAGCCTCGCACAGGCCGCTGATGTTATTCTTGATGTGGGCTCCGGGAGACAGGTTTGGCGTGATATCAACTCCCAGATCTTTCTCTCTGTCCGTTTCGTGAAGGACTTTATCTCCCATTCGGTATCCAGTGACTGACCACCTAGTTTCTCCTCCTAGTTTTATTACCTTACATTTACTTGGGTTGAACTTAAGTAGCCATTTGTCGGACCATTCCTTCACTTTGTCTAGGTCATTTTGTAGCCTCATACTATCCTCCTCTGTCCTGATCCTTCTCATAATTTTTGCATCATCAACACACATCGAGAGTAATAAGTCAATTCCTTCTGGGAGATCATTTACGTATATCAGAAACAGTCCAAGGACTGATCCCTGTGGGACTTCATTGGTGACTCCCCGCCACTCCGAGACCTCACCCCTCACCTTGACTCGCTGTGTCCCGTTGCTTAGGTACTCTCTTATCCAGTAGAGTACCTTCCCTTTCACTCCTGCCTGCATCTCCAGTTTGTGCACTAGTCTCTTATGTGGTACTGTGTCAGAAGCTTTCTGGCAGTCCAGAAATATGCAGTCTGCCCAGCCCTCTCTCTCTCTCTCTCT